AATGTCTTAAACTACAGTAGATGGCTTTGAGTTCAGTGCATGCAGCATGGTTAGAGAACCCACCCATCCCTGAGGGTCATACAGTGTTGGAACACTCTTGTGGCCAGGTAGGTGCCGTACACGTAACAGCAGGCATGGTGTGCCCACTGGGTGTCCACTGCAGCAGTGGGAGCAGTGACTCAAGGACGTGGAGCATGGTAGACGTTTCCTCAGGCACTGCTAGGGAGAGATGTGCTCTCAGTGGGGCCCTCTGGCAATGGCAGCTGCCATACTATGGGCATGGAGTATGGGGATGTGACCCCAGGATCCACAGGTGCCAACACTGCTGGTGTGGCAGCTTTCAGCATGGTTGCAGGTGCCCAGGGGTGCAGACCACAGGGAATGTGTCCCTAGGCCACACTTGGGTGGTGCTGCTGGTGGCTAAGGAGATGGGGAGGTGCCCGTGTATGGATGGCAGGGAGCACATCTGCCCTGTAGGAGGCAAGCACTGCTGGTAACGGGGCTGGGGAGAGATTTCCTCAGCTCCCTGGTAACACAGCCACAGGGGTAAGCAAAGGAGCAGCAAGCATGTGGACCACAGGGGTGGCCCCAGCACCCAATTTCACACCACCTTCAGTAACTGCAGAGGTTGAGCTTTTGTTTTTAAAAATTGCTGAGTACAGTTTGTAATAGCTAAGGCTTGGAAACAGCCCAAGTGCCCATCAACTGGAAACTGGATAAAGAAGATGTGGTTTTTTTATAAAATGGAGTACTACTCAGCCATAAATAATGAGAAACTAGAGACATTTATAGCTAAATGGATGCATATTGAGGCCATACTCTTAAGTGAAACAAATAGGACACACATGTGTAAATACCAAATAGTTTCTCTGGTGTGAGAAACTGAAAGTGTAAATAAGAATTAAAATGATTAAAATGAATAATTGATAATTTAGAATAGGAAGAAAAGGTCGAAAGGGGTAGAGGTGCTGGGAGGGGAAGGGGAAAGGAAAGAAGGGAAAGGAAAAATTATGAGAAAAGAAAAAAAATGGAAATGAAATCTATGTAAATAGGGAAGGGTGGAGGGGGTGAAGGGCGCATAGGTACTGGGGAAAAAATAAGAACCAACATACATCATGTACAGGTACAAGCACCCAATGATAAATGTATACCTAAAATGTACCAATAAAAGAATTTAAGGGGGAAAAAAAGTGCCAAGTGTTTTGCCTTTAATGTCACAGTGGTTCTTGAATATCTTCAAACCACTGTTTAAAAAAATAGCTATGTAATTTATGATGTATATATGTAAAAATATTAAATAGTAAATGGAACATACACACCAGACTGAGAATATTGGTTTCCTAACCCTAACCCTAACCCTAACCCTAACCCTAACCCTAACCCTAACCCTAGCCATGCAGTGGAGGAGACAAAGCGAGTGGGTTATTTCCTGCAAACTCCTGTTGCAGAGAAGGAACCTGGTCTGGGAAGGTGTGCAAGAGTAAACCTGGAACCCATGCTCAGCAGAACCAGAGTCTGCACTATTCCGAAGCAGAGGGGGTGGCTGAAGATGGGTTTGATGGAGTCCTTCATTTCCAAGCGGTGGGAGAACAGATAGGGACATGGAAGAGCCAGGAGTCCCAGAGGGAGCTAGGGTGCTGGTTTTGTAGGTCCCATGCCTAGCTCTGTAGGGAGCCCTATGCCTGTCTCCAAGGCACCTTGAATGCACACCCGGCAATAGGCAGGGACAGAAAAAGTAAGGTGGCATCAGCCAGAGACAGAGCTGAATGGGCTGGCATATCAGATGGTGTTTCCAAAGACAGGCAGGCATTCAGCAAAAGCCACCCATTTCATCTTAATGTCCAAGCACCTTCCTAGAAATCACGCCTGTCCTGGAAGGGCCAGAGGGACTCAGAGGCCATTGGAATACAGTGAGGTGGCTGGCAGTGTGCAGCAGTGAGAGAGGCTTGCAGAGACAAGAGAGAGATGTCTGCCTTCTCTTTGCACAGGTGGTAGGTTCCAAGTGCACATTGCCACAATCTTCCTGGTATGCTGTCTTCCTGTTTCTGAGGTGCCTTATCCTGCTTGTGGGACATATCTGTTCTTGCTCTTCTCTTTTCTTCACTCTTTCCTTTTCTTCCCTTACTTTAATAAAAGTTGCCTTTACCTCTTCTTCAGTTGTCCCGGTCAATTCTTTTTTTTTGGTACCGGGGATCAAAGTTGGGATCTTTCATTTGCGGGGCAGGCGGTGGAACCACTGAGCTAAAACCCCGGCCCCTCTGGCCAATTCTTTGGGCAGGATAAAAAGAAGCTGGAACCACAGACACTTCGCCATCCAGCAAACAATTCCCAGATGAACAGCCACATGTAGTCCTAAGTCTGTAAGCTCTCTGTCCCGAGGGATTTCTCCCTCCTGGACTCAGGTCAGCCCCCGACCCACATACAGGAGACAGAGTCCACTCCCCGTGCACCCACTTCCTCACTTAGCAGATTATGCTGCTACCTCCAGGGAGGCAGCCCACCATGGCCAAGCCCAAGGCTTCCGGACTTAGGTCCAATACACCATGGTACCCTGGGAGAGAGGTCCGAGTCATTCACCCAAGGCTGATTCCAGACTGTGGGGCATCTCTGAATGTGAGGCCAACATGACATAAACCATACAATGAATGAAGATTATTACTGCAGTTTCTCACCAAGCAGCCTGGGGTTGGGCAAGCAAACGGCCCACGAAAACTGCCCAAACCCGGCCTCACTGACATTGTTCAAAGACACCACCCAGAGCAGCCTGGCCACTCAGCCAGGCCCGGAGAGGTCATGTTAGCACTGCAGCAGGGAGCATCAGGGACTGCCCCATCACAGCTGCAAGTGGCTCCAGAAGCTCGTTAGAGGAGCAGCTGAAAGTCTGCCCCAACAGTTCACAAGGTTGGTAGCGTCAGAAGTTCTCACCAATTTCCACTCCTTACGATGCTGGCAGTGGGAACAGAGGCCAAAGCCAGCTATTATGTGACGGAGACACCTCTAGAATGTGTAGGTAAAGGCCTTAGGAGCCCTGGGGCAGGTGGTGAACCATGCAAGGTTGGTGGGGGCCACAGGCTTCAGTCTGGCTATGCTGTTCTGCCATGTGCTCTGGCAGGGTCCGTAACCCTCTGTACCTGGATTACTTCCCCTGCCTCTGCAGCAGGTGCTTGGGGTTGTCATAATGATCAAGTGAGTCACCACATGTAAGCGTTTAGACAAGACCTTGTTCACAGTGAGTATGTGCTCAACACCCCAGTCTCAGGGCCGTCCACAGTCCCAGGGAAAACTGTGTTTAGGCTTTGCTCAGCATTAGCACCTGGCTGTCACTGGCTACTTCCTCCTTATATGACCAGCAGCGGTGACCAGCTTCTCCAGGGCTCAGCCTCCATGCATGCCAGTGTGTCTGCCTTTCTTCTAGAATTGTGTTTGCAGAGAAAACCTCTGGGATCACATTCTTCACCTTTGGGGTTGCTGACAGTCTGCATGGGAACCTGACCGCCCCCGCCCCTGCACACAGAGCTTTGTTGGGGTCTTTCTGAACTTCTCAGTCACCTGTCCAGTCTGAGTAAACCCAGCAGAGCATGCATGCCAAACTTTTCTTCTCTCATGGAGTCTTAGCCTGGGCCTGGGGTCTTGTGACCTTCAGCACTGTATTTAGCAGGTCTGATAACAGAACCTAGGTGGGCTCACTGCTCTTCAAATCTTGACATTTCTGGATTTGCAGCTGTTCAGTCCCTGATAGGAACTTCCTGTCAGGTTATGTTCCTCTATATGAAAATTTAGAACAAAAAAACTTCCAATGACAGTCTTCCAGCAAAGATGGGCTCGTTGTTAATACCCACTAATATCTGTGAGGTCTGAGAAGAATGTGCAGACTGTGGGGGAAGTGAGGTGCGGCCCTGGAGGAGGAGGGGCTTCTCCTGCTGATTCCGGGCCTCCTGAGCACATTCTCTGTTGGTCTGAGGGACAAGTGTCCCTCAATCTTACTCCCACCCAGGTGAAATTGGCAGGGGAGCCAAACGCAAAGTGGAAAATACAGCTTCAAAAGCAACTAATACCAGAAAGGGTGACTTTCCTTATAAATTATAAAATGATGGCTCAATATACCTGACCTCTAAAGAAATCAAACCAGGGCCGGGGATTTAGCTCAGTGTTTCCACAACCTGCCTTGCAAGCACAAGGTTCCGAGTTCAATTTCTGGTACCAAAAAAAAGAAATCAAAGAAAATGCATGCAAAAACTTTGAGCACTTACTCAAACTAGGGCACCTGGTTTGCATTTGGGATGTGCTGTCCACTTACAGTGAGGGGGACCACTGGCTGCAGGAGCTGGAAGAGGAGCCCCGTTATACTGAAGGGGTACAGGCAGAGCTCTGGGCAGGAATTGGCGGCCAACTGCAGCTGCCCAAGGGGCTTAACAGAAGTCACCCAAGTCCCCAAAATGCTGCAGGATGCAGTGGAGAAATTCCCCAATCTCCACCTGCAGCCTGACCAGAACAGTCCCCGAGGAAACCCAGACAGATTGGCGTCCCAAACACAGGGCAGGCGGAGGGTGGATCTCAGGACGAAAGGAATGGTCACCACGCACCCCTCCTGTTGGGAACATGCTTGGGTTTCCTGGAAAACCGAGCCTGTGGTGCCCGCTATGAGACTGAGCAAGACTGAAAGCTGTAGATGCAGGAGAACCCACAGGAGGCAGGTTAGAAAAAGGATGCTTAGGGTGCGTTTCACCCCAGTTATTAACACTGGACAATGCTCCCCAGTTTGCCATCTTCTGGAATGGGGAGTTCAGGTTTCTCAGAACTTCTCATCCATCCAGGCCCATCCCTTCTCTCAACATTCACTGCTGACCGCTCCCCACCCTCCTCTTTCAGAAACTGGGCATGGGGCTGGAAACACCAAGTTCTTCCTGCAGTAACTCCTAGCCATTTGCCTCGGCAGTTTCTTGGAGGACACAGAACCAAGCTCTGGAGAAAACGGAGTGCAAACAATGGGAAAGTCGAGATTCCAGTTGGGTGACACAGTTTATTGAAAGGAAATCTTGCTGTATCCAGGTATTCACTTACATGGAGGTACCCACAACGAGAATGTCTTTTCCCCATGACAACAAAACCATCCGCTGAAGCAAAACCCAAGTACGCGAACAGGCATGGTGGAATGACACTCCGAAGCAGGCCCAGAAATTATAAAAGATATTTGATGATTGTCTCTTCAGCATTGCATTTGGCCATATATTTTTTACATTTTTTTTCTTTTTAACCTAGCTAATGAAAATACTCTTGAGCAGGAGTTAGCTCTTCAAGCAATAAAGGAGAGAAAAGTAGGTATATATAACGTATGTATATATGATCAGAGATTGGCTGTGAGTTCAAGCTGGGAAGGACCCGGGACCCTGCTCATCTCATCTCATCTCATCCCAGCCAACACCTGTCAAGGCCAAGGCCATGGGGAGGAGATGAGCAGGGCCCCAGAACACCTCTCCAAACCCCAGTCAGTGCCCCTCCTGCCCCATCGTACTGCAGGCCTCTGGACGCTGCCAACTGCACTGTAGCCACTCTTTCTAGGGTAACAATGTAACCATTTTCAATGGTGTCCTGTCTCTATTCAGGGGCCCTTTGCTTCCGACAGCCACCTTCACAGCTACCAGGAAGAACAGGCAAGAATGAGAGGCAGCTGCTTTTTCTTCAAGCAGACCGGATGCTCCCTCCCCTGGTTCTGGGCTCGCTAAGCTCTTCCCTGGGCTCTAGTTACCCCTGTGCGAGGCCCTTGTAGGGCTGGCTTCCTGGCTTCCTGGCAGGTGTTTGGATATGTGGAAGCAACAGGGAAATGAAATACATTCTAAGGGTCCCAAGGAGCCCTGTAATTGTCACATCCCCAAGAGGGCAGAGGGCTTGGGGCTGGGTTCTGCGGTCCTCAGCGCTGCGTCAGCTTGGTTATTGCTTGTCACCCCCTCCGCTGACTGAGCTCGAGGAGGACGGTTTTTACCCATGTATTCACTGCTGCCTTAGCACCAAGGCTGTGCCTGCCACACCACAGGTGCCCAACAGAATTATTACACGGATGAATGGCTAAGGGAGGGCTTCCTCCACACCCTAAGAGTGAGCAGGGGCCACAGCCACCCCTAGGGGTGGTGAGGGGACAGTGACCCAGGTGGTGGCAGAGGAAAGCTTTGCTCTCCAGCTCCAGATGCCCACCATTCTCTGCAGGCTGCTGACTCTGCATCTTGTTGACCAGCTCTGGGACCCTAAGTGGGACCCATGCCAACTGTCGTGGACTTCTGTGGCCCACAGGCCACAGTGTGAGGGGACACTGCAGAAGCCATCTTGGTTCATTGCTACCTCCCATGGTCCTCTCCCTGGCCACTTCCCTCCTGAGCTGCCCATCCAGCACTGGGATACCCAGCATCTTCTGAGGTTATGGCCTTCCCCCCAGGCCTGACCCATTCCGAGTCCCCTTGTGCCCAGAAGCTGAAAGGAGACCTCCAGTTTGCAGACACATCCCACTCTTCCTTCCCGAATATCAATCCAGCTCCAGCCCAACCCAACCCTGATCTACACATCCCCCAGCTTTCAAGGACTTTTCCGTCTACCTTCTCATGCCAGTCCCACACCCATACCTGCTGTTCACCTCCTCTCCCCTCTCCCTTTCCCCATGACCTTACTGAACACCTCCTTGATCAGCAACAGTGGTTTACCTAGGCCACCTGAGCATCTGCTCCCAGTACAGGTCACTGTGATTCTTTTTTTCCAACTCTGATTTCCAAAGTGGCCTATAGTCTACCTTGCCTCTCACCTCTGCTTTTGAATAAAGCCCAGTAGCTTTGGGTTTTAGAAAAGAATACTTGTTATAGGTGTGTGAGCTTTACAAAGGCTGTGGAATGTTCTGAAATGGAACAGCAGCAGTCCGTGTGAAGGTCTGCTTTACCATATGTACATCATTCCCTTTCCTGCACTTGGCTCTGAAGTAGTGAGTAGCACTTTGGACCCTCTCTCTTGGCAGGAGGGGGCACAGCTGTGCAGAACAGGGCCTTCATCCTACCAAGGCACATTTCCCCAAATGAGCCAGTGGGTGGTGGCTCCGCTGCCTTGTTCTAAACCACAGTGGCTCCCGGTGGAAGACACTGGAGACACCAGGGAGGGCTGTGAGCTTGAGAACTATGTGTAGGGGCGGCCAGGGCCCCCCACACTCCACTCCCCCTGCTGCCTCCTGCTGGCCAGCTGCAGAGTCCTGGCAGGAACCAAGGAAGCGGGTTAGATCTGGCTGACCACAGCGCTGTCCCTGGGGAAGGTGAAGCTCAGCGGTGCTTCATAGAGGCTCCCGCCATCGGTGCTGAGGTCGTCGTCATCATCCATGTCATCCAGAACTTTACTCGGCAGCTTCTTAAGTCTGCGGAGACAACATAAGCACCGTTCCTGGGCTGGGCTCCTCTCTGATGTGGGATGGAGTGGGTCTTGGATTCCTGGCCTCTACCCCACTAGGTGCACATAAGCGCATTCACTTAACTGAATCCTTCAGCTCAGCAAGCTGGGGTTGACAGCCTGGACCAAGATCAGTATTACTGATTTCCGTTTCTGCCCAAACTCCAATATGGCTTGGCAGGGTATTCATCTGATCTTAATTCAAAATTTGGATATCTTATTCTCCAAGGGTTAAGTGCAATAATTTCTAAATTTGGCATGCATTAAATTCATGTTGTAGTAAAATGTTATCTATTCTGATGCCCCTTGAATGTCACCCCTAACGCTGGCCTTGGGGCCAGCTTCCCATGAATAGGTCTTGTGTGGTAACATCCTCCAAGGCCGGGGGACTCCTATCCATCTGTAAGAGCACCACTTGGGCAGCCAGCATGCTGCCCAGTGCACCACCAGCCTCCAAGAAAGGCTGACTCCAGGGCTGAGTGTGGGCCTGATCTTGGCCCTCAGCTCCACACCCCTGGCACTGGCGCTGGGGAGGGAAAGGGACCCATCCAGGCCCTGCAATTCCCATCCTTACTACTGGGCAGGGGTGCTTGGGAGATCACAGTCCTCAGGGGGACAAAAATTAGAACTTTCCTCCCTCAGATAAAAGGAGGGTCTTAGCGATCTATCTGCTCCGATTATGTCCACAAGGACAATCACTGCCCAGCTGATCTTGCTGTGAGGATGGTGCACACGAGACTCAAGACCAAGCCACTTTCATCTCCAGGATGGGGCGGCCCAGAAAGCAGCAGGGAGGAACTGCCCTAAGACAATGGACTAAAAGCATCAAGCACGCCTCAAATGCTAAGGGTTAGCAGGTAATCGGCCACATGGGCACCAGCTTTGCTCACCTTAAGTCCTTCTTCAAGGAGCTGAGCTGCCCCTGCAGCTGCTCATTCACATCCACCTGCTCCTCCAGCTCCCTTTGCAGCTTCTTCTTAGAACTTTCCAGCCGATCGATTTCCTCCTCGGCCTCTTCCACCTGCCGCTTCATTGCTTTCAAGCGCAAGCTCAGCTGCAGCAGGAAAGAGGGCAGGCTGAGGGTGAACCAGGCCCAGCAGCAATGCCAGGGACTCAGCCACCTTCTCCCTGGTGAGCCAGTCTCATAGTTTCTGAAAGTCAAGTTCAGCACTCGAGGGCTGTGCAAATTCCCCATTCCAGGAGGAGAGGGGGTAAGCAGAGAGGAGGAAGTGGCCCAGCCTAACTCCACTGCCAGCCTCCCTGCCCCAGCCTGAGACGGGACACAGAGATGCCTCACCTGGTCCTTCTGGTCTGTCAGGGACAGGTGCTCGTCATCCACCTGCATCACCAGCTCCTTCACCTTCCGCTCCAGCCTGCGGTTGCTGAGCTGCAGACTGGCCCGGTCCCTGTAAGGGGTGGAGGCAGACCAAAGCACCTCTCATCATTCTCAGCCCTGCAGGAGGCTCTGACTGCAGAGCAGGGGGACACCAGCCTGGGTGCCTGTTCAACTTGAGCTTAGGGTCAAAGAAAAGGACTACGTGGGAGGAAAGGTCAAAACAGGCCTTGAGAAAGCAGTGATTTGTTAAGGCCACAAGGCCAGCAAGGAGCTAGGCTGGACCCGAACTGTCCTGCATTCGTTTGTTCTAAGGCAGAATTGACAGCCAATGTTTGGGGTCTACCCCAGTCGACCCCAGCACACCTCCCTCAAAGGCCTACGGAACACACATCCTAGGCACATGTGAGACGCCCTTCCAGAAGCTGAAGGGTCATGAATAAGAACTAAGACTGGTCACATCCACCCTGGTGCTGGTCCTCAGGCTGTATCTGACAGCTCGCTGCAGAGAATCCTGGGTTTGGGAAGGAGTGGCCACTGGGTCCCTTATCCTCCCACCCACTGTGGGGGACCTGCCCCATTGCTGTCAGGTGGGCAGTGGCCTCTGCCCTGCGCAGCGTCAGCTCATCTGAGAGGAGGAGGAAGGAGTGACAGTGAGCTCACACGTGCTCCTCTTCCCCCCAGGCTGCGAGGACGGGAAGGGCTCCCCACATGTGAGCACTCTGGGGGCGGCCGTGCGCACCTCTCCTCGCTCTCCAGTCGGTCCTCCAGCTCCACGATCCGGGCCTCCATCTGCACCACCAGCCCTTCCTTGCTGGACCTGTAGGAGCCTTCCAGGTGTCCAATCCGGCTTTTCAAGTCCTTGTTCTGGAATCAGATGGGGACTGTGAGGGTGCCGTGTCTGTCGCGCACTCTGTGCAGAGCCAGGTATGTGGGTGGAGTCTGTGACAAGGCTGCTTCTGCACCAGGGTGGAGAGTAGAGAGTCTGGGGAGCCCAGGGATGGGTCAGGCATGCCCTGGATTCAGGTCCTAGCGGGTCTGTTCCCTTACAGCCTGCATAGACTCTTTAGTGTGTCCTGGGAGCCGCAGTCTTGTGCACCGATTCAGGGAATGATTCTCTTTTGTTCCATTTGTACCAGAACTCAACCCTCTCAGGCCCTACTCCAAAGCCTGACAGAGGGAAGCGGGAGCTCATAAGGTCAGTGCCCTCACCTGTCTCTCCAGGGAAATCTTGTCACACTCCAAGTCTTGTCGCACAGCTCGCTCCTGAAGAAGCTCGTTCCTCATCTGCTCCATCTATAAGCACAGCAGAACCCTGGGGTCAGAGGGGGTTGCTCCCACGCCTCTGCCCCGCAGTGGTTCCGGGGGCTGAGTTCCAAAAACCAAGCCCAGTCTTCCTCAGGTAGGCTGACCTGGAGGGGGCTCCTCATGCCACCTTCCCCAGGTGCAGCAGGATCTATTTCTGAGATACTCTTGGCTTCTCAATGATCGCAAAGATAGCAACACAAACGACAATCATCGTCATAGCTAACTGCAGCTTCAGGTTGAACTGCACCCTCCACGTACACACACAAAAAGGATGCACTGATATCCTAACCCTCAGTACTCCCAGACTCCTAGTGTGACCTGAATTGGAAACAGGGCCTTCATGGAGGCGACTAAGTCAAAATGAGGCATGAAGGTGGCCTGATCCAGCCTGGCTTCTGTCTTTACAGGAAGTGGAAGTCCGGGTGCAAAGACAGGCATGCGCAGAGGAAGCCGCCATGGGAAGACAAGGGCAGGGAGCAGAGGAGACTGGAGTGATGCATCTACAAGCCAAGGGCACCAGAAACCAGGAAGAGGCAAAGAAGTGTCCTCCCATGGGTCTCTGCCGGTATTGATTTCAGACTTCTGTTCTCCAGAGCTCTGAGACAGTAAGTTTCTGTGTCCTCAGCCTCCGAGTTTGCAGTACTGTTACTGATGCCTGCTTAGCCCCCACGAACATTATCCTACTGCATTCCTGGAGCCACCTTCAGCAGGCACCATCATCCCTGCAGAGCTTGTCAGCCTCTGGCTCGAAGGGGGTTAAGCGCCAAGTTTGCCCAGACTGAAAATGCTTGCAGGACAAGGAAATTTCAGTGCTAAGACTGGGAAAGTCCCAAGCAAATCAGGATTTGTAAGTTACCCAATGGGCTTGAGAGGTACAGAACTGGGATGGGGGAGCAACACACGACAGAAGAGCTCCTGGTGAGCATTTCTTGGCCACTGCCACATTTCACTGTGCTACTGTAGGCCTGACAGGGGCTCCAGATGATGGAGGGTGTCTGTGTTGGCAGGAAAGAAGCCTCACCAAAGTCATTGCATATCTGCTCTCCAGTCCCAGGGGCTCTGCAGGGTTGAAATGAGTCAAAGCAGAGGCCGTACCAGCATCCAGAACCAACCTGCAGAAAGTGGCCTGAAAGCTACCTCAGATTTCGGGGTGGCTGGCATAATAAAATTACACTCTCCTTCTCAAGGCTGGATAAGAACTTCCGGGGTTCACCATGCCCAAGAGATGCACATAAAGTCCTAGACACATGGTCCTGGGGAGCATTTGAGACAGGCTCACCTGGCCTGGCATCAAGCTGACTTTTTGTCACCCGTCCAAGCACCTTAGTGAGCAAAAGATAATCTCACGTCTCCCCACCACCGGCGAGCAAGGACTGTGGGTCCTGGGAATCGTAAGGACACTGCCCCGGGCTAGGCTTAGGCCTGCTCCCCGGCTACCCTGTCTGTCCTCAGCCTGTGCACAGAATGACAAGTGGCATGTTGTGTCCAGTCCGGAGCAAGTGACAGGGCATGATAAGCAAGAAGGCTGGCAGGAGAGGCAGGGGCAGATGAGGAGGCCTCAGGCGGTGCAGGAGGAAATGGGGCCAGTGATCCTAGGTGAGGGCTTATCTGTGTAGTTAAATAAAGAAAGCTTGCACTCCTGAATTTCTGACAGGCAGCCTGCTAAGTTATGAGGGTTCAGAATTTTACAACAGCAGAAACAGAGGGCCAAGAGAGTAACAAAAGTTAATGGAGGCAGCTGGCCTTCAATCCAGGCCGAGCCAATCCACTGCCTACCCTCTCACCTGTTCTGTATCACTTGAGGGAGCCACAGAGACAAAAGGATTCAAATGGAGTTCAAGGGCAAACACAGCTGTACCATAAAAAACCAAAGCATGGGGAGGGAGCCAGGGTGACTGAACACAAGTGTCCTGTGTTCAACTATTAAGAGGAGTCAGGGCTGCAGAGCAGAAACTGTACTTGGTGGGGAGGGAAAGAGAAAGCTGAGAGATGCTGGAGACGCCACACAGTGCAGAATCAGACAGGCGACCCACAGAGGACAATGACGCATTTGGCACCTGCAACCCCTGCTCCCTGCCAGGAGTGGGGCACCAGATGCTGCCAAAGGTAAGGAGGAAAGTCCCAGAAACCCCACTCATAGCAGCAAGCTGGCAGTCCTAACCCAAGGAGAGTGCTACCATACTAACAAGTTTTAGGTCCAATTTTGGGGAGCTGGGTGGTCTTATGGTGACTCTTCTGCCCCAAGAAACTTCTCTCTCTGGGCCTCTCCCAGTGCCCGGGATCAAACTAACACCCAACCACAGCAAGACACCACCTTGGCTTTGGAGCCAACAGCAGGATGCGTGACCCCATGGAGTAATATACAGCCCCCTGTGGAGTTCAGGACAGCAGCTGCAGCAGCCACAAGCACAGGTTCCCCCTGTGTGAGTAGGGAATATCTCCTCTCCAGCCCACACCTTGGGATGGCAGCCACTGCTGCAAAGTTCTGCCTTCACTTGCACATATCCATTGCAAGCCAGGGAAGTCCTTTGTCCCTCTTCCCCTGGCAAGCACTGCAGCTCCAGGAACCCTCTTACCAGTGGTCCTTGCGCTCTCTTGGTGGGCTCTAGGGAAGGTCCCCTTCCTAGCTCATGGCCTTAGGATGCTGCTGCAGGTACAAAACTCCTTAACATCACCCAACTTTGTCCGTCTGTGTCCCCAGGGATGAGGTGAAGAATGCATCTGTGTCCTTCAACTCTAGGACTGTAACTACCAATGCCACTGACCTCATCCCTGCCAGAGCTTTCCCATACAACCTAGAGACATTCCCACCCACACCTGCAGCTGTAGGACCACAGATACCAAAGCCACAAACCCTCCCACTACCCATCCTCAACCCGCAGGACTTAGGAAAGGTCTCCTCCATGTCCTACCACCAGGACACCACAAGCCCAAATGTTACAGATGTGCCCTGGAGAGCCAAGGGAGCACTCCCTCTACAGCCCACAGACTTTGGACCACAGTGAACCAAAAGCCCTGGAACCATCTGTGCTTTTCCACTGAGAATGCGCAGAAGACATCACCTGGGCCCCGCACTTCCACAAAAGCAGCAATATACAATAGCCCAGGGGACCTGGAGAAAGTCCCCTCTGTGTTGCAAAACCTCAAGTCCACAGTTACCAGCACCAGGACCCATGCTCATGGGTGGGACATGGGAAAGGCCCCCTCCCTTGGCTCCACAAGCTGGCTGCTGCTGCCACAGCACAGAAGTCTTCTTCATTCTAAGAGGGGAAGATCTCCACATCCTGCAGCTGAGTGGCTATGACTGCTTGTCCCAACAAATGGAAAGTATACAAATACATAGAAATTTAATAACATGCTCACAAATGGCCAATGGAGGACTGAAGAAATTAAAAGGGTGTCATGGTTGTGATCTAAAATGTCCCTCAAAAATCTCACTGTGTTGAAGCTTGGTTGAAAATATAGGACCTTACATCAAACTGATAAAAGCCATTTATGACAAACCTACTACCAACATTATACTAAATGAGGAATTCTAAAATCAGGAATGAGATAAGGAAATCTACTCTCACACTCCTGTTCAACACCATATTCTAAACTTTAGCCTGAGCAAGAGAAAGAGAAACAAATAAAGAGAAAAGCAAGAAAAAGAAATAAATGAATGCAAATAGGAAAGGAAGACATCAAATTATCTTTACTTGCAGATGATATGATCCTTTACATAGAAGACCCAAAAAACTCCACCAGAAGATTTTGAGAGCTAATAAACAAATCCAGCAAAGTGACAGAACACATAACCAACACACAAAAATCAGTAATGTTCCTGTACAGCAATAATGAACCACCAAGAAAGAAATCAGAAAAACAATCCCATTTACAATAGCTTCCAAAAAATTTAAATATCTAGGATTCAACCTAACCAAGGAGATGAACAATCTCTATAATTAAAAACAATACTACTCTGAAGAGAGAGATTGAAGAGAACATTAGAAAATGAAAAGACATCCAATTCCTGGATAGGCCAAATAAATTCATCAAAATGGCCATATTACCAAAAATGATCTATAGATTTAATCCAATTCCTATCAAAATACCAACAACAGGGGCCGGGGATTTAGCTCAGTGGTTCTGCTGCCTGCCTTGCAAGCAGAAGGATCCGAGTTCGATCCCCAGTACCAAAAAAAAAATACCAACAACATTCTTCACAGAACTAGAAAAAAACAATCTTAAAGCTTAAATAGAACCAAAAAAGGCCCAGAAGAGCCAAAGCAATGCTGAGCAAAAAGAGCAAAATAGGGATATTACAATCCTATATTTCAAGTTATATTACAAAGCTATAGTAATAAAAACAGCATGGTACTGGTGCAAAAATAGACATGTAGACCAACAGACTAGAAGACACAGAAACAACCCCAGGCATACTCATCCATCTGATCTTTGAAAAACAGATGGAAACATATGCTGTACAAAGGATAGCCTCTTTAACAAATAGTTGCTGGGAAAACTATGCAGAAAAATGAAACTAGACTCATATCTTTCACTCTGTACTAAAATCAAATACAAATGGATCAAAGACCTAGATATAAAAACAGAAATGCAGAAACTCCTGGAAGACAAAATAGGGAAAACCCTTGAAGACATAAGGCCTCAGCAAGGATTTACTGAACTGAACTCCAATAGCACATGAAAAAATACCAAGAATCAACAAATGGAATTATGTTAAATTTAAAACTTTTGCACAGCAAAGAAAACAATCAAGAAAGTGAAGAGGCAATCTCTCAGAACAGAATTTTATTTTATTTTGGCATTACTCCTCAGATGGAGGACTAGTATTTAGTTTTTTAAAAATCTCTAAAGAATGTACTCCCCCAAAACAAAGATCTCGATCAATAAATGGGAAATTGAAATAAATAGGCACTTCTCAAAGAAGTACAAATGGCTAATAACAACACGAGGAAAAAAAAGCTCAGTTATCCTTAGCCATGAGG